GAAATGCTGGAAGTAGGGGTATATGAGTGGGGCTACATAAGCTACTTTTGCCCAGATTTCTGAACGATTTATGGGCCAGGGTAACCAGAATGTTTTTGCGGATTTTCTACTCTATTGCCTGAGTTTGAGTGTATTTTTTTCCCGTAAAACTCAGCGTTAGTAGCTGTCTCCAGAGGAATGACCTTTGCGCATTGGATCTCCTGTGGAGTTCAGTTTTCAATTCCCTCCACTTCTTCCGCTGAAAAAAAATCGTCAGGGGATTGTTCCGCAGATGCGTTTTCCTGTTCAACAGTAACCTCACCTGCTCTTCTTGCTGGAGAATAAATTTTGTCGGTCTAGTTTGGCCCGAGTCCTCAGTTGGATCCTTGTTCTGACCCATTATATACGCTTTTCAGACGAGGACCTCCATTTCTTCGTTTTCGTATAGGAGAGGTTTAAAGTATGCTCGGAATAAATCCATATCATGGTCTATTCTATTCTTCGGGGCTTCCGAAACAGATTCAGGCACGCCATATATGACGATGCAATGACTGCGATTAACTAAATGGTTATAGAATTTGTTATTGGACCCGGCGACTATCTGATGCCAATGGATGTTTTTATAACGACGTGTTCAGCGTCGTTAATGTTATATCGATGACATCCGACGTGTGTCACCATTGAATTAAGCCCTGTTGACATCTCCAAGAAAGAACACAATAAGAAGGGCATAATTCTGGAATCCATCCGGAAAAGGGTTTATTGTGTACAAAACTCGGAGGAGCTGTCTCGGGTGGCTGTTGTCGCTGGGTTGATCCCCAGCGCTCTCTTTGTCCCGCCTCGGGGCAAGCCCGGCATTTGGAGCGGACTGGCGTCGCCACGCGTCCGCTGTTGCAACTCTCTCTGTCAGGGGTGACAGTAGCTTATAAGAGATTGCGCGTTCTCTGTTGGCTTGGTTGGCCACATTGGGATAACGTCTCGCGACCGGTTGACCCTCGGGCCTTGTGCCTTGCGTACGCTCGTATGCGTGCGTGCGGTCTAAGGTCATCACGCGTGGACAATCATCGCCTATTATGCGGTCAAAGCTAACCAACAAAAACATTTGGCTAAGCTCGACGCCTTAGGAAAGCCTCCAAACGTCTCTAGCATTTGGTCCGGCTTACATCCTCACAGATGTAGCCATCATCTTTCGATGCAGAGGCAACTGCCATTGTAGAATAACTGCCCTGTTCCTCATTTACGAAGGTTTGACGCACATGGGATACCTCCTTCAGTGACGCGTCAATTGCTGGAATTGCGCGCGGACTAGGTCTGTCCATAATGGGACACGGATCTACTTTATTTATGTTCTGTTGTTTTCTCTGCCGTGGGATTCGTTTCTTGTTTCGTCTCCTTGATCTTTTTCGGCTTTTTGGATGTTTTTATTTCGTCCCTTTTGGCGGTTGCGCATGACCCTATGGACACGCTGCCCTATTTTACATTGCTTGTTGCACCAGAGGACACTGTGACTGCGAATATTTATTTTTTCGACCTTTTTTTCACGTCCGGGACCCTCCTCTCCTCGTGTCGTCTTTAAGGGCAGTACATACTGTCCTTACCAAATCGAAGGACAACTGCAGATTAGATCTATTGTAACATTCAATTACATACAAATATAAAAACTTTAAACATCGAGATATTATGAGGCAAACCATTCAAAATTTACGCCACAATCTGAAGATGAGGCAATCCACACAGACAAAGTGGAGAAATAGACGTCAATCAAGTGAGAATTATACGTTTTCACCGTCTCCTCCATCGCAACCTGACAATCGAATACAGTAACTGTTCACGCTCTCAATTTATTTGCAATGCAGGTAGTCTTCCATGTACATTAAAAGCATATTGGGACACTGTGAATGAAAACGACTACAACGACTAACAACCGGTGAAACGCCGCAAATTAGTGGCTGAAATTAAATGCAGGCATATAGGTGTAGAGGACTACCTGCGTATTTTGGTGAAATAACAATATTTTATAGATTTTTAACTTCCACACAGAACTTAATGTGTAACTTTGAGGAAAGCAGCACGCCGAAGAGTCTATAGTCATCAGCAATAAAGGAACGAGAAAAACCTCTTCCAAGACTGTTGGGTGCTGATTCGGTGGGATCTGTCTCCCCGTCTGATGATGGTAACCGTCTGCACTGGGTCTTATTTCGTTCCATGAAAATAATTTCAGCCTTTCCACCGTTCAAGCCTGCTATCATTTCACTGTCAACGGTTTTTACTTCTGAGTACTGCCCAATTACTGGCAAGTCTTATTAGTAATATCATCTTTGAGGCGATTTTTTCACGGCTAGCTTGATGCTCTCTGTATACTTATTTTTTCGGTTCCCCCCTGCCTCAAAAAACACGTGTGCCGCAGGTACATAGCACGTGTTGATGGACCAATTCAAATTTTTCGTCGATAACGCACCCCTGAAAATCGCACCAACTTTCACCTGCGCTAGCTATGGCCTTGAGAGAGCTACGGCAATTTTTCGGCAACCAGCTACTGCAATCTTTACGTAATTATTTCGCTCCTACCGTACCACAAACCTTACCGTGTAAGTCCCTCATTCTATTTTGCCTTATTTGCTGCATTTTTGGAGGTAAAGTGCCTTAATTAAATCTGAATACTTAATTTAGGCAGCAATACCATTTGATATACATTCTCTGACATTTATCTGTCAAAATACTGATAAATTTTTATACGTAGAGCCGATGCCAGGTAACCAAACACTAAAAAAAATTAGTTTTCAGAGCAGACGTTTCTTTTAGACTAAAAAAATGTAACTTGTAAAAACAAACTAGTTTGAAAATAATTCCGGACTATATTATAGCCAGCACCAAACGAAGAACACCTTTCCAGTATTTGCTAAATAGACTCTTAGATAAAAGGGAAGAGAGAAACAGAACGTCAATAGCATGCTTGCGCGTGAAAACACAGCAGTCGTTGCTTAGCCGAAATAAAAATTACACAGATCTACTCGCTTATCACGAGTAGTATAACATAATATCCGTCATTAGTATTTCTTCATTGACAATCAGTTTGTATTTACTTTCAGATATTGCCTCCCGTAGATATACTGTTGTTTACATAGAACATAAGGAACCGGAGCGGACTCATCCGATTCCCTCCATTAGGATCATCCCAAGTAGGGCATTTTTACGAGTTCAGTCAGGTACGTTAATATTTTTCTACCTTACGCGCCTACTTTAGCTGTATATATTTATCTCCCAATCTTTAATAAGTTAAAATAGTAAGCAAAATTTACAACAAACCGATGGCTTTGTCAATGCTTTTAAAATAGATCAAGTTCAAATGCGCACAAGTTTATATTCCAAAGCCATTTTAATGTTTATCACATAGTCTCATTCAGATATTTTAATAATATGTCTGCTAAAAATTTATTTAAAAAATACTATTTAGTGATGCGTTTATATAGAATGTCAAGGCGGAGATGCTAGGCGTTATTTTTCGGCTTTACTTATGGCACCAATACTGTTGAAATCCTGACATATGTTAGAAATAATGGGCACATATTGCCAAATAAGATTCCATAAGGGAGTGCACGTATTCCCTAAGGTATAAAGTCCGTTTAGATTGTGCTAGTCGTTTCGCAATTCCATTCAATTAAAGAGACCTTAAGCGTATTTTTGCCGATTCACTCGGAATGGCATTACTCCTGAAAGTCTGATATGCATAAGAAGTAATCTGAAATGATTGCCACCAAAATATGTTTCTCATTGACGACGGCTTATAAGCCTGAAATGGACATTCCTGTCTCTCATGTCTTTGCCAGTTATACCGTCAGTCTGTAGTATCAGCTGTTACAGCTGTCAGGAACTATGGCGTGGCCCAACTGACAGCCGAAGAGATGAGTTCCGTTAGTGGTCGGGTAGACGCTCATCAGTGCGTATCAATATATCTCGACCTAAACCGGCAAGACTTATGACACAATGGTTAGGGTGTTTGACTGGGTATGAATGGCTGAGGACGTCTAATAAGCCAGAAATGGTCATTCCAGTCTCCCTGACTTTGTCGGTAATACCATTCGCCTAAACATGGTTCCATGGACATGAAGGTGGTTCGTACTGGGTTCGTCGCACAACCCCCGACCGCTCGACCTTGAATTGTTTAGGCCATATTCGCCACACTCGAGGA